AGGCCTATATTAAACCATGCAAAATGGGGGGGGAATGGTGGGGGGGGCTTGCCATTAGGAAGTACTTTTGTTGCACACCCGGATATAGTGCTGCCTGCGTTGACCCCGATACGAAGTGCCCCACCAACGCCGAGGTCAACATCCAAGCCGTCGCTGCCCGCCCACCCAAAGATGCAAAGGGGGGGGAATTAAGTCACCCCCGAAAAGATGCCCTAGCCATTTTTTCGGGGCTCAAAAAAACATAAGACCCGGCCTTATTATATGAGAAACACGGTATGATAGAGTCTCCATCTCAGGAGCAAGGTATTCTGGAGCTTTAGTTTTCCTTTGGCTGGAGCACAACCATGATGGATATATTATGTGTGTGTGTATGTAATATATTATACACACACACACACACACATACACACATTAATTATGAGGACAACATATAAAAGGAATTGTAACTTTTCTTACCAAAAGAACTTTTCAAAAAGTATACAATCTATTTTCTTTCGAGATTTCCCTCAAGCGATTTTCCTGGTTGAGTAATTTTTATAAACACGATGCTAAACCCTACTAATATATCCTTTGGCAAATTATTATCTTAAACAACCTTGGTAGTTTGTATTGCTTTTCAGAATTCTTAGGCTGTTTCTTTAACATTAAAATATTTATTTTAATCACAAATTTCAGCTGACATCAAACCATTAAGCTATTTGATCAAACTCATTTAAATAAAAGTCTACATTTTAATAGCAATAGCTCGAGACTTATATACTGCTTTATAGTGCTTTATAGCCCTCTCTAAGCGGTTTTACAGCCCCTAACAATCTGGGTCCTCATTTTATCCACTTCATAAGGATTGAAGGCTGAGTTAACTTGAGCCTGGTGGGATTTGAATATCCTTTCTTTCCCAAGGAATATTTCCGTCTCTTGAAAATATAGAAAATAGAGCATTCATAGTATTATTTTATGATGTAGGAATGCATAATAATCAGTGGGAAAATATTTTTCAGCACTTTTTATGTTGAGCAATCTATTTCAGATTCCAATTCAAGTATGCACTTTATCACATTGTTTTACACACTGCATCACTGAAAAATATAATATATATTGAATGTCCTTTCCCTGTTCCTAGGTTTTCAAATTCATTTAATTCCTTGAATAAGGAATGGGTTTAGATAATGCAGAACTTATTTCTACCCAGATGACTGTTATTCAATTACCTGTATGCCTGACTTTGTTTATTTGTTTGTTTTGAAAACCACTAGTACAGACTGGATTATAGTATTACAATTGTCTAAAATATTCAAATTCTTATAAGTTTTTCTATTCCGCAGTGCCCAGCATATTTTATTGCCGGAAATTTATGGGATATGTTCAGAAGTGTGTTACTACAGAAATGCCAAGACTTGAAGCAGTTGTTTTTTTATGCCTGTTATTATCAGCAGTCTACAGTCCAAGATTCTCCATTGTAGCTTTTTTTTTTTGTAACTTCTTTATCCAACTGTTCTCCATGTATTTGATTACTTCTATTTTCTCTGCCGCCTAGCATGTTATTTCTGCCATTTGGTATCCTGACAAAACAGGGATACCAGAAAAATAGAATTTCACAAGCATTCAGGCAGACTGTTCAAAAGGCTTCCCACAAGAACACTGTTCCATGCTCTTTTCAGCAGACTAATGATGCAGCCATTCCCAGGTCTGTTGTGTATCTGAGGATGTTGAAATTCTCAGATATTCTTGGTTTTGGTCCTAATTTAAAACTAAATTGTTCATTAATTCTTTTGCTCAAAGTTTGTCCCATTTGTCATATGTGGAGTGCTGCTTGGAGATTATGTTATATAAACTATAATGGTATATTTCCAAATGGTTATTTGGAAGTCAGTAAAATCCATTCAATTACATCCTATGTAACTGTTCCATTAGCAGCAAGCTACCATCATATCAACACTGTATTTATATTTGTGTAACAGTAAGCAATTTTAAACATATAAGCATGTTATCACCAAATGATGGCTGGTGTTAGAGTTTGGATATAGACTATACTGAGAATATAGACTAGACTGAGGATAAGTTGTCTGCATTAAGAATTACTCATTTAAAAGTGACCTCGTTCCTTCCTCCCCCTCGCAAAAGATTTGCATACTTTCTGGCGTGCAAATTGTCCCTATTTATGATTGTATTTCCCTATTGTGAATTATCTTTTTTATGAAATTGTGGATATTGTACCGAGACTGCATTAGTTGTTTTGATCTTTGCTTCTTTTTCTTTTCTCTGGAAAGCCTGGAATAAACTGGGACTGACATCTCACTCTGCTGCCCAGAGGGATCTGCAATCATATGAAAGGAGGAAAGCAGTTGTTTGAGTATACGTTGTCTTTCGCCTGTTCACTTATACTCTGAGTGTTCTCCCCAGGAAGTCTGCAAATGCTGCAGCTACAAGAGAAAGAGGAGGGGTAAATGAGGCTCCAATTGCAGGAATAGGCCCTCCCTGCCAAGCCGTCACTGCCGGCAGCCGCCCTTCCTGATTTTGCAAAAAAATTAGCCCATCCAATCTTTTTCAGCAGCTGCCCTGCAGGCACAAAGAAAAAAGTCTGGGATCTCCCATTTTCTTTCTTTTGTCTCATGGAATATGCCAGCTCACCAATTTAGGAGCCCTACTGTTGCTTCACTGAAGACATCTGTTGAGCTGAACTGGGCCAGACTAATTAAAGCAGCTGCCAACAGCACTACTATTGATATAAAGCCTTCGTCTCCAATCCATCCAAAGCAACGTCAGTGGCAATAGCATATTTAGCCTCAAATTTCTGCTGCCACCACCTGGATTCAAGACCATGTTTCCACAGCCCCTGCTACTTTAGTGACAAGAGCTAAAGAGATGGGTGTGACTTCAGTGCGTCGGACGACCTTGTCTATCAAGAATCGTTCTCGTGGTACCAGTAACACTATGCTACTGCCTTCCATGTTGATGTTTGGTGTAATTGTGGCATCTAGTGGCTTACTCCTCATGATTGAGAAGGGAATTTTGGCTGAGATGAAGCCTCCACCCCTCCACCCCTCTGCTAAAGAAATGTTTTGGAGAACTGGCAGTAGGAAAACAGCAAGAGATATGGATTATCAAGTGCTCCAGGACATCCGAAATAGGACAATCCATACCATTTGCAGACAAAAAAGCATGCCCCGCACCATTTGGGATCTGTCAGCAGGCCAGAGGAGGACAGTGCTCAAACATATCCTGGTTAGTGACAAACATCGTTTTTTATACTGTTATGTTCCCAAAGTGGCTTGCTCCAACTGGAAACGGATTTTGAAAGTTTTAGATGGTGCATTGGAGAATGTAGATATTAAACTTAAGATGGATCACAAAAAGGATTTAGTTTTTTTAAATGACATGAAACCAGATGAGATTCGTTATCGATTAAACCACTATTTCAAATTTGTGTTTGTCAGAGACCCAATGGAAAGACTTTTGTCTGCTTATAGGAATAAATTTGGTGAGATTAAAGAATATCAGTTAAAATATGGTTTAGAAATAGTCAAAAGGTATAGGAAAAACATTGGAAAAAGCATGGGTGATGATGTCACCTTTTCTGAATTTCTCCGGTATCTCATAGATGAAGAAACAGAAAAAATGAATGAACATTGGATGCCAATTTACAACCTGTGTCAACCCTGTGCTATAAAGTATGATTTCATAGGATCCTATGGGAGACTTGAAGAAGACGCCAATTTTGTTCTTGAAAGGGTACAAGCACCATCCTTTATACGTTTCCCAGAAAGGCAAGCATGGTATAAGCCTGTAAGTCCGGAAACTCTGCATTATTATATGTGTAATACTCCAAGAGAACTTATAAAACAGCTATTACCAAAATATATTCTGGATTTCTCTTTATTTGCATATTCCCTTCCAAATGTTACTAGTCAGTTTTGCAGGCAATGAAAGTTTCTTTTGTGAAGCAAGCTGTATCCTATGCAATTTTTTCTAATTTCATGGTTTCCTTTTAATACTTTTGATAACATTATGAGTTTACTATACATGCTATCTTTAAAAAAAAGCTTTAAATTTTATACTATATACATATATATAGATATATAGATATACACCATTGAACTAAGCACAGCATTATTATTTGAACAGTGTTTTGTGTACATTAGAAACAAGGCATGTTTGTAATTGCAAATTAGCAACTGTAGGACAGTAAGTTTTAGGAAGATTGCAAAACAGGAGGAGGAACATAAAGCAATAAAAACTAGGCTTGTACAGAGAAACCAGAAAAACATGGTGGATGTGCACCATTTCACGTTTACTAATACAAATGTGAAGACAGCAGTTTCACACAATATTGCCTTAAAATATAGTGACATAGGATTTTTAAAATAGCTACTATAGCTATTAAGGCAGATAGCAGCCCTAATATTTTTGAAAGCAAGTCACATCCTGTTTGTTAGACATACTTCCATATAACAAGCAAAAGATCCGGATTTAAATTAAATACAATTTACATAATGGCTTAAAATATTTATCAAAGCTGGTATGAACAATGAAATATAAGAAAGGCCATTAATAAAGCTGCTTGAAATGATCAGCCAAATTTGATTGTCTAAAATGCAACTCAACGTTTAGAAGGGAAAGGTAGGAAGGGTGAAGGTATGAGTTTGTATTTGCAATTCAAACTGTGTATCTATATGTACTTTAGGTTCCCATGATGGACATTGTATTTTTCTTACTATGATAGTTTTGTAGGCTACGATGACTTTTTATTTCTGTATTGAATGTAAACTTGGGTGTACTTTATTTGTGAAAGAAAATATCTTTTGTATAATCTCTCAGGATTTACTTCTTGTAAACTGTTACAATTTTGTTAGCAGCCTGATTATTCAGATCATTTGTTAAATTCTGACTATCTACTCGAATCCTTGTTTATGACATCATTTCATTTCCTGGAAAGAATAAAAAGCAATTTGCATGAGGTTGCACACTGGACAGTTATGTATATCACTGAACTGCCTTTGCCACAGAAACATGAATATTGTCAGATACAATAGTAGAAGATACTATATCATATAATATTCAATATTTTGTGCATGGACTGGAGGACTCCCATCTTCAAGCAGAAAAAATGTCTAAGATTAACAAACTCAATAGCTTTAATTTTCAGATGATTATACTTTTTCCATTTTTAAAAAAGTGTAATTATTTACTTGGAATTGTATTTTGACTTTTACTATGCATTTTTAAAGTAAAAAAATAAAAAAAAACTTACCATTATCATTTGAAGAGATTCTTCCCATCTTTTATCTTTGTTCAACTAGTTGTATGTAGATACTGTGATTAGAAATTAAATAAACTCTGTGTCAAAATGGGTGTGGAATATGCCTAGTTCACTGAACCATTGGTGGTTCAGCATAGCCCACCCATGTCTTAAATCCTTGGGGAAAAGGCACCACCTACTATCCATGCACAACTGAGAAAAGTTGTGAAAACTGAAACAATTTAAAAAGTGACAAAACATGAGTTTTGATCCTGCAAGATTTGTATGCTTAAGTTTCCTTTGATTACACAATGTCATCTCAGGACTCCAGAAGTTGCCTTTCCTATAGTCGTGCCTACCTTTTGGAATGAGGTTCTCCCTGAAATTTTGATGAAACACATTCAATTGTTTAGAAGAGCCATTAAGAGCTCTTCACTCAGTCATTTGCAAGGTATGCTTGCCACCTTTTAAAAATTTTTATTGTAATTTGATTGTGAACTGCTGAATGTTTTGGGAATCAGGGTATGCAAATTTAATAAATAAAAATAAGGCTTTCATATCTTCTCTTGACACTATTGGTCACATTAGCTATATATTGCCATTAGAATCATAAGTAGCATAGTTGAATTCCAATGGTGGACATGATCAGATAATGTTTTATGTTTTTTGAAATCATTTGAATGTATTAAACTGGCACACATTATATAAACTGGGTATTTTATACTTTTGTAAACATTTATTTATGCTTCAGTTATCTGATAAAACAGAGGACCATCCTTAAAGATATTGTCTCCATCATAGTAAATGTTTTTTAAAGAATACTTTCTTATCTTCAATCATGATCGTTATAAGCCTGATCTGACCTGAACTTTGTGAGGCACTGTGGTAAAATTGGGAAATTCATGGAAGATATATTACATATAAATAGTCAGGAGATATAAAACTCTTGGTAACTTATCTTTTAAATAACAACACAGATAGGAGGAAACCTAGGAAGAAACATTTCAAATTATTCAAGGAGATACCACCTTAATGAGCTGGCTAATATGAGGATTAATAATTCACTTTCTCTTTTCAAGACTGTATTCAGGATATCTCTAAGTCTATAGTTCCTACGTCTTGAACTTGTCCAGCTGTGTGGGGCTTTATAAATATATAAACTTTACAGTGAACCTATAATAATATGCGGTGTAATAATCACAATGTTCAATTTCTATGGAACACCAAAAAGTGGGACACCTAAAGGGTTGTGCATAAACAGATCGACCTTGTATCCAACTTCTATCTCAAAATATTTTTAGCCCAAATATGCAAACCGAGAATAGGTGTTTTTAAAGCATGTTTCTATATGTGTCTTTGTCACAATTTCAGAATCTTAAAACTAAAAACTATTTTGCAACCAGTATTTAAGTGGTTTGTGTAGTAATGCAGAAATTCAGAGATACAACATTTTTAATTCCAAAATGAATCCCCTTATTTTAAATTGAAAATAAACAAAAGTAAAATTAATTTAATTATCTGAAGCAGTCTTTTGGGTAGAAGCTTTTATTTCAAAACCTGTCAACAATAACTAACTTCCATTAAAACATTTGGGCAACAAAATAATGGTTTTGTTACTTTCTAACAAAATAAACAGTTAATGTATTTTAATGTATTTACTAGCGTTATTGTATATATATATAAACATAGGCTGATTATCACAATAAAACTTCCTCACAGTTAAAAATACTGTATATTTGCTGTAAGCAACAGAGTTCAAATATGTATCAAGGACATGTGTGTTTAGCAAACTGTTTTCCAAATTTAAAAAAAATGAAGTGTTTCTCACCATTAGTTACGTGTTTAATTCTTATTCCCAAGAATACATCAATGAACATGTGGCATTAATAACCATAATCCCTGTTTTTATGTTAACTCATGCTGAATTCAACAAGAGTTATTCTTCTGGTAGTTCTGTTTTAAGCAAACTAGAGGAAGTTGGGATAAGAATAGTGAAATAATTGATAAGGCTCCACCATTATCTTGTGTTTACTTAGTGTCTCCAGGATGTTTTCCCCTTGAAATGAAAATCAATTCTAAACATTTCTTTCTACTCCCACTTCACTTTCTTAAAGTGAAAACTAAGCTAGCAAAGTCTTAAAGTTTTGAAGTTGCTTTTTCCTTTTATCTTTAAGTCTTTAACTTTTTCCACTTTTAGTCACATTAATACAACATTCAAAGCTGTTTTTAAAACCTAAGTATTATTTTTATTGTCAAAATGAAGAGGTAATCTATAGCTCTTAATAGTAGTGAAATAATACAAGGCAAAGAGTCTATAACCACTAACCTACCAGATAAAAGTAGCAAGGGGACAAATGTTAAAGTCAAATATTTAATGAACAAATGTTATCTGCACCCTTAATTCTTTAGATGGTCTGGAAATCTTAACAAATTGCCTGTTTCCTTTCAACTGAAATATTGCTATCAACTTTTTGCACATTATCTCTTAATAGAAACAATGTCAATATTATTAACATGAATAATTAGGTTAAAATAAAGAAAAATTAAGATGAGAGACTACCTAGCCTCCCAAAGAATCATCCTGTCAAAAGCTTCTTCTTTAACAAGTTGGAAGAGCACCAATATCATCAGGTATTTCTGTAAAGAAGTTAGACCATCTGCAATGTGAAAGAAATGCAATTAAACATGCCAAAATCCACAGAACTAACTCAAGGAAATGTTTCATAAAGATTTTTTTTAAAGAAATAATCCCAACTATTCTGGAATAAATTCTTAGCATAAAGGCAACTAAAATGACTAATCAAATACAAAGCAGTGCAAAATAGAAGTGAATTACCTTTTTTATTTTTATAGTATTGTAAATGGGTGACAAAAATAAAAATATGTATCAGTTTATCATACTGTGCAACAGACAACAGAATGCTTAATGATAAACTTCATTAATTCAAAACTTGTTTTTTTTAAAAAACTAAAGTACAGAAGGCTTTTCCGGTACTAATTATCAAAAGATGTCTTTGTCAAAGTCACAGTAATTTTATTTTTTGTCATGGTCTTTCTCAGATTCTAGAAGTGCAGATTGAATTCCTAATTTCTTAAGCTCTTCCACTAGGTCTCCACTTTGATGCATCTGAAGTAGTATGTCGCAACCTCCCACAAATTCACCATTGAGGTAGACTTGAGGAATAGTAGGCCAGTTGGAATAATTTTTAATTCCTAAATCAAAAAGTAAAAGGAAGTTAAATGACATATTCCCAAACATATGAAGCAATGTAGAACAGGGCTTCTGGAAGTCTAGACAAAAGAACATTAGATAATATTGCTGACACACTATCTTGCTCACCTTTGTAAAGAAACACATATATTACTTTTGTCTGTCCTACTCCTTTTCTGATGTATAAAACTATTTTGCTATTTTATCAAGTATTAATTGTTCTGATAGGTTTCTGTATATTGTAACATAAACCAACTTGAAGCTTCTAGATGTGAAGCTTATGGTACCCACTGAAGCTAAAAAATTTATCACCATGTACTTATTAAAAATGTTGCAAAGGGAATAGTTTCAGATTGAATGGGAGCAGCAAAGGGAAATGGATTAATGTAAGAATACAGAGTTGACATTAATATATATATAGAACAAAGCATTTGTAACTCTAATAGTGAAAAAATATTTATGTAGGAAAACAAAAAGAAATCTCCATGTGTAGCATAAGAATGCCCACTTTTATCCCATTTAGTTATTATATTTTTTTGTATAATTTACATAATTTCACAATAACAACTAGTACATTTTTCACTAGTTATACTGAAAGATGGCAGTATAAAGTGGCTAAACCAGTTAGATAGCTAATTACAATTGAACAAAGGTGTACTCATTCCAACCAGCTACATTATACACTAACAATCATTTTGTATTTAGCATTTGTTTAATATTCAGACTCAAGAAATTCTAAAACTGGGAATGCATATGAAAAATCTAGATTTTAAATAGTAATATACAAATGGGAAGATTAATAAAAATTGCACTGTATTTCTCTTTCCAAAAAGAATATTCTTAATTTATATTCCACAAACTATTTCTTTCAAGCATTTGTTCCTTGTATAATCTCTCTCCATTTTTTAAAAACCAATACAATACCCATTTGCCTTATTTACTGGTATGTAAACATTGATATTTATAGATGAACTTAATTTTAGAAATATGTGGCTTTCAATTAAAATTACAGCTGAGTTAATTTGTCAAAGAACTACAGAATTATTTAAAGAATCATGATGTGTAAAAACTTTTTCAAAAATCTACTATATCTTAAGTCTAAGTTTTTAACATTAAATATTTTTGAAATATTTAAATATTATGGTACCCAGCGGAGCTATAAAATTTATCACCATGTACTAATTAAAAAATGTTGCAAAGGGAGTGGTTTTTGTCACTGAAGGCTCTGCTGAAGCCTTCAGTTCTATTTGCAGATCTATTTTCATCCAAATTCTTATCTCTTTCTAACAGATCCTAAGTAGTTCAGAGTATGGTGTAGCTTGTTATGCATATATGGCATAATTTTTCTCACTTCACAAAGCACAAGTCAAGACAAGTTATGGCATTCTTAACTATAAATGTCCTAAATATGGTACTATTCCATAGGTTCACAAATCAATTAGGAAAATATTGCAGTAAAACTTTAATACTTAGCTACCATAAAGATTATGTGTGTGTGTTTGTACATACATATATAGCACATACAATGTATATATGTATGTGTGTGATTGGATATTATGCAAAAAAGCAGAGGAGAAAACAAACAAGGAAGAATTCTTTCATACACATAAGCAAAAACAAAAGCATATTTCAATTAGCACAGGGCATATTGGATTTTAGGTTTCTAATTTATTAATGTAAGCCTGAATTATATACATGAAGCAATCTTTATAATTTTATGAAAATGAAGGAAATGCCTTAAATCACTTGTAGATTTGGATCTTGTTTAGTTTCCAAAGTATCTTCTGGAAGAATTCCATCTTCAGGCAAATAAATTTGGGAATGGTCAAGGGAGTAATGTGAAGCCAATCCAGGGAATTATAAAGCAATGATTCAATATCCCACCCCCCCAACAGGACCATAGCTATTTTTTCCAACAAGGTCTGGCCAATTCAAATTGGCAAATATAGTACTCAAGGTAGCATAGTGAAAAATAAAGAACATTTTAAAATTTACACATTTTAAATTGGGCTTGGCAGCTTATAGAAACCTTATGTAATATGCTCCAGATAGTAAAGGAGGACTCTCAAGTTGCAGACCTACTCTTTCATAGATAGCGTATCACATCAAATCACCACTGGAATTATTTGAGCAACCTGATAAGAGTTATCTGTCTTGCTAGGTAGGCTTCAGTGTTAATATATTCTCTCCCACTCAAACAAACCCTCACTCTCTTTAGAAAGCAAGGAAATACCTTAACAATCTCCCCAGGATGGCAGCATTGGCAATGTGCCAGTGCAATATGAGATGGCACTTGTTCTAGCCTACTTGATCCTGAGTAAAAAAAGTAATTGAGAGAGACCAAAGTTTACGACAGATCAAAATTGAACATAACATACACTTTCTGGGTCCTTATTTAGTAAGCCAAATTTCATGGATATTTTGTTTTTATTATTCTATTTTCTGAATGAGAGAGTGTCAGATACAAAGGAGAACAAAGATGATTGTTTTAATCAGGCATCAAAGTGTCAAGACCACAAGCTGCCTAGAAATCTCCATATGTTAAACTTAAGCACCAAAAATGTGGGCTACATCTATAGTAGCAATGCCTTTACCTAGTAGTAGTCTGCATTTTTCTTCTGAGATAGCCCTAGTCCTGGTGAAGGCAAGCAAATGGAGCACAAATGAGCATGTTCCCTTGGGAAAAGGCAGGCGGGCCAACTGAACAGAGACCACTGCCAACTGAACAGGTGCCATTGTCTACCCACCCACCCCCTCCTTCCCCTCATGGTTAAGTGTTATCATTCTTGGTGTGGCCAGCAAGAATAAGTGTCGCCTGTCCAGTCATCAAGTCCAACTTGCTTCTTTAGGTAAAAAAGGAAAAGGAAAAGATCGGACCAGAGACAAAAGCAACAATCGGATTGCTCTGGACGAAAATAAAAGGCATGCATAAAACCTAAAAATCACAGAAACTGTGAACGAAATGAAGGGGGGGGGTCTAAAAAAAGGGGCTGCCAATGGTTGAATACATCTAGAGCTCTGTGGGGCCCAGTCAGTTGAAGAGAAGGCTGAGCAAGGGCGACGCCTACCTTGCCGGAGGTCGGGATCCTGGAGGACATCGTAGGAACGATAATCATTAACACCATGAAGACGCAGAATCTGCACCACCGCGTTACTGAAGCCGCACTGGGGCTGGGCCGGGCTCCCCTTCATGAACACCACCACCGGATGTGCGCGCACCAGTCGCTCCACCGCCTCCTTTGACCCATTGCCCTCGCCACTGGAGCTCTGTCCCCCCTGACTCAGCTGCTGCACAAAATATCCCGAGGGTCGTGAGCGTCCCGCCAGCCGCAAAACTGCGGGTTGTCGGCAAAGGGACCCAATCATGACTACCACAGCGGCTACCTCGACTTTGCAGAAACGTCTTCCTTTGGAGCGACCTTCCACGCTTGGGGCTACCCAGGAGCACTGATTGGGGCAATTGGTCCCTCCCGCTTGCCGAAGTAGTTCTATGAAAGGTAGAAGCTGATATCAATCACTTTCAAGATATTGGCAGAAGCTGTGAAAGGCTGCCTGTACTTTAGCCCTGCGCGGCGGACCAATCCGGCAGAACCAAATTACATTTCTACATTGCGATTAGCCAAACTCGAGATCCAATTGCAGCGCTCTTGGGTCGGGCCTTTAAAACTCTCTACTTATAAAAGCATCGTTGCATTTTTTTCGACTGTGAAGAATCTAGCGCCTGGATCTTTTTTGGCTTGTGGAGTAAGTAAGCAAGGAGAGAGCGAGTTAGGAGGTCTTGAAATGTGAAGCTGAAAGAACATTTTTTGAAATTCTGCTCAAAGGAAGAATGATAAGGAGGCACTTTCCTTTGCATGCCGGGCAGATCTTGAACTAACGGAAAGGTAACGTGCATTAAGATGAATCGTAATTGTCTGTGGACAACTTGAATTGTGATACTGTAACTCAGCGTTACTCTTTATTGCAGTTCTTGGGGAGGGGAGGATGGAAGTGAGTTTTAGAAGGGTGACGGGTTAACCAATGGACTCTTTAGCTCCCAATTCCCAGGTTTCTATAGATGGCTTACCTAATGGTTATGATCAAAATTCCAGCTTCAAAGTACCGGATTATATCAAGTTAAAGCAGGAGGACTATATATTTCTTCTGTTGTGGAACTGTGATTAATTTTCAATTTAATAGCCATGTATATAGCAAGTATTGCGACCCAATTGGCAAAAAAAGGACGGTATTTGTTGGAAACATGAGGAAGAGGCCTTCATCCTGCAGTGGATAGGCAATGGCTAAAATGATGATAACGATATAGGCATGCCCCATGGTACAAACTCAGTTCTTTAGCACTTGTGTAAAACTTCCCTAAAGTGCAAAAGAGCAGAGTCACAATTTTGCAGTGTCCATTTAATCATACATATTAGCATCATTAAACCAGTCTTATAGTTTAAGTGCTGTGTTTGCCTTCAGTATCTATCCAGATGGGCATGCTGAGTTATCAGTATTTTACCCTGCAGGACAATTAACACATTTTGGACTGATTCTGCATGGTACAATTTGCTATAATTACTCTATCTTATCTCACAGCTAAACATACCATGCCAGAGCAGATACCCGCAAAGACAGTAAAGTTTTGTTGGGGGGGGAAATTCAAGGGTCACATGTTATTTGTTTGGAATTCATACCAGAGTTACTGGGGTTATTAAATTCCTATGATTTCAGAATGCATATATTAATGTGACCTAAATAGGCATTTACCTTTTGATAGGTTACATTCCAGTTTGTTAAATTAAAAAAGAAAATAATTCATTTAAGTGAATTATTTCCAAGCTAGTTATATGTCATCTAAATCCTCAAATTATATTTTTTATTTTATGGCATACATATTAAATTTAAAAAAGCAATTAGTACAATGAGCATAACATGATTACAATGAACTTAGACACGGCTACACTACCACTAAAAGATAGCATTAGGACTTATTTATACTGGAATTATCAATGAGATGCCATAAGTGGATTGAAAAAAGTGGGATAATTGAATTCTGTGTTCTAAAGAAAAATACAGGTATTTGCTTTATTAATACTAATGAAAATATCAGAGTTGAAATTGATACACTTGGGATCAGTGTCTACAATAACTGGTAAATCTGAAGAAATAAGTATTATCCATAATATGTGTAATACAGGTAGTCCTCAACTTACAATCACAACTGAGCTAAAATTTCTATTGTTAAGTGAAACATTTGTTAAGTGAATTTTGCGTCATTTTACTACTTTTTTTGCCACAATTAAATGATTTGCTGCAGCTTAGTTAAGTAAATCTGGCTTTCCCCCATTGACTTTGCTTTTTAAAATGTTACAAAAAGTGATCACATGATCCTGAGACACAGCAAATGTCATATATATGAGCCAGTTGCCAAGCATCTGAATTTTTATCACATGAACATGGGGATGCTGCAAAGTTAACTATGAAAAATGGTCATGTCATATTTTTCTGTGCTGTTATAATTTTGGATGTCACTAAACGAACTGTTGAGGATTACCTGTATTTAAATGGCAATATTAGTTCAGGAGTGGGACTTATTTCAATAATTATTTGCTGCTGAGAATGCAAGTAAATAAAAATTAGAATCAATAGATTGATATTGAAAACAAGAATCCTAGCAGGATTTTTTCTATAAAAAATGTTTGTTCAAATTCCAAGCATAATAATTTGCCCAAAATTCTAAAAAGTTAACTAGTGATCTACAAGAAAAACTAGATTTTTGTGAAACATTCAAGATTGTGTCTTCTATGGTCTAAGATTTTGTAGGCAAGGGCATATTTCATCAGCAATTTTAGAACTTGATATAATTAAGTCGTTGGTTCTCTTTAAGTCTGCAGCCTTGAAATTGCCCTTAGTTGACTTGTACTCTGGGCATATTGGGTTTGCAAAGAGTATACAACTGAGGAAGCCGAGGCAGGACTGTAAAAAAGCAGCAGCAGCTCCTTGTGCAATATTCCTCTGACATATTTTACACTGTTACCACGGAGATGATGATTGTCCTTGTATCATTATCCATCTGTCAGCAGTAAGAGTAAATTTGCAGTGTGATATTGTTCAGCAAATGAAGAATTTCTACTGAATACTTTAAACTGCTATATTTATTTATATTGTTTAAAACAAAGTAATGCATTTCATTATATTCCAAATATATTTTAAAAATGTATAACAATTGTTTTGGTGTGCTTTTGTTTTCAGATTGGAAGATTTAAATGAAGATTGTATCTCAAGAACTTGCTTAATATTTAAGTATCCTGCCTCACACTTTTAGATCTTATCTTTTTTAATTTTGAAAATTTAACAACACAGAAGAGGGAAATGATCGTAAGATATATTCTATGTATCTTAAATAAGTTATATCAAGTGGATGCTGTGCTTAGAATCTACTTTTCCATATACTAAAGAAACTATTGACTTACTCAAAGTATTGTTGTATACAATATGGATCAACAAGAAATTAATGATAACAGTATTTCCCATAAAAGCTACTAGCTAGATCCTAACCATTTAACTGAATTTAATTTTAAATGGTATTATAATTAGTATCTTGAATGACTTCAAGATCATGGATCTTCTGGTTTAATGTTATCTTTTGCATGGATTGTTGCAATATTAATATGCATTACTTTGCATGATTATGATAATGTTTTATTCAATGAGATTGTTGGTCAAAATGTTCTATGGTTGTCTTAGAATAGATATAGAAAAGTAGGCTCAGAAATTTTGACTAGAAAATGGTAAATGTATCTCATTTCACTTGCATTAAAAACAGTTTTGTCATGGCTGAAATAAAACAAATCTAACATACTGAATTATTTTCTCTTTGGAAATGACTGGGATTAATGTGAATAGAGGCCCTAATATAGTAAGATGTCCATTAAAAATTGGTGAACCTTAATTCAGATCGTATGCCCTAAACAACTGAGTTTGGTTTTTTTCCCATTTTGGAGTAGTTCTTTTTTAAATTTACAATTTTAATATTAAAACAGGAATATTATTATTATCCAAACCCAGAAAGTTTCTAATTGCAAATGCTGTAAACATTCCCATGATCATGTTAATGAATGCATAATTTTTTCTTCAGGTTTTGAATTTCAAGCAAAATTACATACTGATGTTTAAGGGGTATATTTTTGAAAGAAAGAGGATATAAAAATCCTGTATTAACAATCACAACTGAACCGGAATTTTCTGGTTCCATAATTGTACAATAACTTACGCCCATATATATTTGGTCCCATATAATTAAACAAGTAAGTCATATAGAAAATTAAGGCCAAAGAATACAAATTAAAGAAACTACATTATTTTTTAACATTGCATTCCAGGTGATATGAATACCTTAGTTCATTAGTGTGTATAATGATTTTATATTATACATTGTCAGAAGGTTTCAGAGATTTTAAATGTTGTTATTTGCTCTATCAGACAGGTGGCTGTTGTTAAGAAGCTAAAATAAATGTAAATGTCCTTTTTATTTATTGGTGTATTTTAATTGTATAAAAGGAATTGTCCAAACCAACAAGACAATACCGCATGACTGACACATCACATGACTGACACATAAAATTAAGCTTGTATTAGCTTTACTGTAGTTTGAATAAAGCATACAATTGACTGAATTCACAGAACACACAAAGATAAAATATACTATGTGTAGGCACCATATGTGGACTATCAATGAAATCAATTTTTTTTGTATCATGATTTGAAAATAAAATATCTGCAAAGCAATAGCAAGTAGCACCAAATTTAGAAAATTGGATTATTTTTCTTAGAAAAATTAAACACATTACATTGAAATATTAACTGTACTCTTACAAAAAGTGAGATAAAATCCACAGAAGTAGAAATGTGACAGAACTAATAATAAAAATAAAATTTTAAACATGGGGAAAATTTTGTTCATTTTTTATATATCTATTCTTTCAGGTGGCAAATCAGAATGATTGAAAGAATATGTTATTTGTTCTAAACTCACCTTGTTAATGTGATGGTTGAATTATAGAAAAGCACTAATATAAGCATGGTTTATAATCCATAACTAAATAAAGCAGAAGAAAAGCCATTATAAAATATGTTATGTTTAGTCTTACAAGAAAACTAAAACAAATCAGTTTAGGGACATCTTTTATTATGGGCATAAAATTCCAACAGCAGAGAAATATTTTAATAAAAGAAACTTAGATATCAGCCCAAATATCCTCAAAGGAACTATTTAAGAATATGAATAATAACACAGTATAGCAGACACTGTAAAGGAAAATTATTCCTTAGTGACGTAGTAACTTTTATTCCACATAAGCTGGTCTTGTAAAATATTTTAGGAACAATAAATTCATAAAGTAGAAGGAAAATAATTGGATATTGAAAAAACAGAGTTGCTCAAATAACTAGCAATTCCTTTGTAGATACTATTAAGACCTCATTTAAAAATGGAGGTAAAT